CAATAATCTCTATTTTTATTTAATATATTAAAGCATTTATGTAAAACATGTATCTGTGATTCTTGATTAAAGATTAATACTATTCAAAGGAAACTTTATACAACTCATAAATGTAGAGAAGTAAAAGTGGTTATCTATAAATTAATACAATTAAAAGATGAAAGTTTTTATGTTACATTGGATTGATTCAAGATGAAATTGAAAATTTTAAACTAGTAGAAAATTTGGGCTCAAGGCAAAAACTTTAAATCAAGCCTAACAGATGTAAAAGTCTATGTGACTAGACATGATATTATTCTTCTTTCGTGCTTAATCTCTTGAGCTATTTTGAGTCTGTCAAAGGCTAACGAAAATGGAGCTAATATGTTCTTTAGACCAGCGGCACAGCCAGAACCTTTATTGAGGGGGCTCAATAATTTTAAACTGAACTTACAACAAGTGATTTGTAAGCTTTTGATACAACTGAGTGTTTGTTAAAGCTTAATAGCGATGAGCCAATGTATTCAATATTATGACAATAAAATAGAATTACATTGTCTATATAGCTTGTTATTTACTATGTGCATTGGTTTTTTAGTCATCTAATGGTATAAAATCATAGTTAATATTACTAACAAAACTATAAGATGTACATTCTAATGCAGGATAGGGAAATAATCTTCAAAATAAAATTATCAAATGAATATTTGGTTTGCCTGTAATTCATATAATTGGGCATATAAGTGAAGTTCAATTTTAAGTAAATAAGATGTATTAGAAAAAAATAAAAATGGCGTGGTATTTTATTTCAAGCTTCCATTTTAAGGATAGTGAGAGCAAATATTGAAAATTTCAACACTTTCGGGGTTAATCGTGAGGCTAGATGAAATATTTTGAAAATTCAAGGGAGCCAAGAGTGACAACACTAAAAGGCCAAAATTTTTTATAGGCTATTATATAGTTTTCAAAAAATTGAGTGTGTAGCTCGGCCGCTACTTTATGCCACTGCTACCACGCTCTATGTAACAATAGCAAAAACGTAGAGTCTAATCTTTTCCATATTGCTGATTATCATTCACAAACTATTTTTGTAGAAATATTAAACCAAGCATCATTAATTGTAGCCAAGTGTCTTTGTTTAATTGGTTGACTAGATAGGTGCATGGTTGTGTTTTGTAGCGTGAAGTGTAGGATTAATTTCAATGTTAGTATTAGTAGTAGCAGTTGGAGTCTAAAGTAGTTTGTCTCGCGTAGAAGTGTGGTAAAATAGATATATGGTTGATAAATGATTTTAGTTAAATTGACAGTGGATCAAATTGATCCAATTCAGTTAAAACCATTTAATAAATGAATCTAAATTGATGTCAGTGTAAAACTGTGATCCATCCATTTATCTATTTACTCTCTCAAGTCCTAAATTTAAGATCCAAATATTTTTTTTCAAAAAAATATAGATCCCCAAAGTTCTATCCTTAAATCACCTAAAAACCTTTTGGTAATAACAACTGCTTGTACTATTACTCTATTTCAGTTCTTCATAAAGCAGTTTCAAATTGTTTTAGTTCCAAGAAAATCTAAGTACTGTGGTCAATTCAACCTTTCATCATTACTTTAAATATTATCTTGTAAAGTAATGAATAATTAAGAATTTGACTACATTATTATAACTTTTGGGTAAATTGAATACGGCTTTACAATAGAAGAAGTTTACTTTTCCAATTTTTTGCATCCCTATTCAAGAGGGATGCCTCGAATAAAATGGAATTCCAATAAGAGGTCTTATGTTATTTGTCAAGTAAAATATTTTTATCATATGAGCACATAGTACCTCGAAATCTATGAAACTCCCTATTATATCATTGATATACAAGCAACCTTATATTTTTTTGGTGGGCTGGGTTGGGTGAGAAGGAGAGAGGGATTGTACGTAGAAGATTTTGGATTTAAAATTTTCTACTCATTAAAAAAAGAAGGTGTCATTTATGTATCTTAATTAATGTCGCAAGGATATTTGTTAGAGAAATCTTTTTTATAAATGAAAGAATAAAAAATAAAAAATTACTTTAACACTGTATGATACATTCTAGCTTTTTCTTTACTTAAGAATGTGCAGGTTTGCGATCATTATTATATGAGAGTTTAATTAAAAAGAAAAGAGTAGAGACTAAAATATAATTTTGAAAAGGATGGAAGAAGTCTAGAAACTAGAAGCGAATAAAATACAATTAATGCTATTGGCAACTTGGCATATGAGGAAGTTATGAAGGAAACAATCGGTGATCCTACAAAACTCCATCCCACTTTTTTTTTTTTATAAATATTCGCAATCACAATGTGCGTTTTTCTTTTTTAAATTAAATGGATATATATGGATGACATGGATAATCCATTTAAATCCACCAGTATAATTGAGTTTAGATGGTTATCCATTTAAAACTATTGAATTTATATGGATCATCCAAATCCATTTAAGGTTGGTTTATACGGATGGATTGGTGGATATAAATCCATTTTGCCACTTCTAGTCTTGAGTCTTTTGGATATAAAAGTCAGTAGCCTCCATAGTTGCCTATAGTTTTTTCATTTTGCACATTGTAAAAAACTGCAGCCTCATGTGATCAATAGTGAAACTTGGCATATGAGTAAGTTATGAAGGAAAAAATCAGTGATCCCACAAAACTCCATCCCACTTTTTTTTTTTTATAAATATTCGCAATCACAATGAGTGTTTTCTCTTTTTTAAATTAAATGGATATATATATGGATGACATGGATAATCCATTTAAATCCACCGGTATAATTGAGTTTAGATGGTTATCCATTTAAAGCTGTTTCATTTATATGGATCATCCAAATCCATTTAAGGTTGGGTTATATGGATGGATTAGTGGATATGAATCCATTTTGCCACTTCTAGTCTCAGGTCTCTTGGATATAAAAGTCAGTAGCCTCTATAGTTGCCTTGAGTTTTTTCGTTTTGCACATTGTAAGAAACTGCAGCCTCATGTGATCAATGGTGAAATTTTCCCTTTGCCCGTTGATTGTTTTTGCGGGTTTATGTGTGTTTATCTATTGGGGTCATTTAGAGTGGTATCAGAGATATGGTAGATTAAAGTATGACAAACTTTAATCCTAATATTATTTGTTCTATCCAAAAACTCAAAATAAAGCCGGAATTCAATTTGTGGTAGAAAACAGATGATAACCTATCTTAAGGCATATAAATTACATCGATATATTGAATCTACACTTGCTCAAGATGCTAGTGAGAATGATAAGGCGAAAGATAGCTTGGATTTACCACAGATTTATTAGGCAATTGACATGTTAATTTTTGAAAATATTGCTACGACTGATACGGCAAAGAAGACTTGGGATATATTCGAAAAAACATACAAAAGAATTGACAGGGCCCAACAATATAATCTGATGATATTGAAAAGGAAATTTAAACTTATGATGATGGAGAATTCGGAAATCCGTTGAGTCATATTTTTCTTGTTTGTCTGATATTAAAAACGAGATGGCACTTAATCATTATGACCTTCCTATGAGAACATTTGTTGAGAAAGTTCTCAATACCTTACCCATGAATTTGATAATGTGGTAGCTTTGATTCAGGAGACAAAATATTTGGAGAATTTGAGTGTTCAAGATTTATAAGGGTCATTAATTCTGCATGAATAAAGAATTAATGGGAAGTTGGAGGATATCCTGAAGAAGGAGATAGTAGAGAAGGCGCTACAACTGCAGTTGAATTTGAGAGACAATAATGATGTCAGGAAGCAAGGTGAATCCAGTCAAAAGAACAGAGGTGGCTACAATAATAAAAGTGGTTGTGACAACAATAATACAGATAGAGAGGTACATCAAATCCTTAACACAATAGAGGTAATAATTTTAATTTTAGAGGTGATAATTCTCACAGAGGAAATAATTTTAGTTAAAATAATTTTGGATAGAAAATTCAATGTTATAATTATGAAAAATTTGGCCACAAAGAGTTTGAATGCAAATTTGGTGAAAATGTAGATAGGAAGTTTTAGGCTAATCTTGCTCTTAATCAAGTTCATGTCAATAATAAAAAATCTGAAACTTTATTATTAGCTTGTAATGCTGTTGATATGGTTGATAAAAATAAATGGAACTTGGATACAGGCTGCAGTAATCATATGTTAAACAAGAAAGAATTATTTGTTGAATTTGATGAATTTGTCCATGGTGAAATTAAATTTGGGAATAACAATGTTTCACCAGTGTATGGCAAGGAAAAATTCTCTATTAGCTTGAAGAATTGGTCTACTATTTTTATTTCTTACGTTTTCTATGTTCTTGGGTTGCATCATAATTTGTTGAGTGTGGGCTAGTTGTTTGAGAAAAAATATGATATTCATATCAGGAATGGTACTTGTACAATTTTTGAAAAAAAAAAATATTGGAATGATTGTCAGTGTGTCAATGACTCGAAATCGCTTATTTCTATTGAATTTGAGTAGTGACAAAAATCATTAACACCATAAGGCGTAAGCACGCTCTTCCTTTACAGATACTAGTGTTAAGAGTACATCCAATATGTGTACAATTAGGGTAAAATTAAAATGAAACATACAAAATAATTATATAAAATTTTCATGAAAGAACTTTGGTTTATATGGTAATAGTAATTTGGTAGTTACAATATTTAGGATGGTATGAATAGTTATATTGACAAAATGTGATTAGGTGATTACAATAAAAATTAATTTTTTATAAGAGTAAAATTGAAAGTTCAAAAGATGAAAAAAAGAATTTACATCAATTGCCATTACTCAGGCATTATATATTGTATAGATTATAGCGTATATATTTCAGGACGCCTTGATCTCAACGTCAAGTTTTTGTTGCACCAGCCCTCAATTTTGCTGGTTCAAAGACAAAATTAAGACTCCTGACTGCTGAAATTTTGAGAACAAATGCATAGACAAAGGTGATAAGGTTTTCTTCAGAAACTGACTGAGAAATGAAAGAACCAAACAACAGACTTTGGAATAATGATGGGCGACATCGAACTTCCATAGAAGTAGAATCGTACCATGTATATAACTGATGCTCCAATTTAAAAATTTGCCAAGCTCAGAAAGCTGTATTAACAGGAACAGACTTGGAAACGGGCAACCATGGCAGTGAAGTATCTTGAATTGTCAAATGGAGATACAAAAATGAGCAATTCTTTTGCTCTTTTGTGTCTTCATGAGGAGCAATAGCCACACATTCTAAACGATAGCATGCTGTTGAGCTAGAACAATGGGATCCAGGGCTTACGCTAAGAAAGAGAATGTAGGTTAAACAGCTCACGCTAAGCCTGCGATGAGCGAGATAACCTTAGAGATCAGAAGTTTCAGCCAAGAATCTTGTCCCACTGGAGCACTTGGTGCAGGCCAGCCATCCAAGAAGATGATCACGTCATCAATGCATGCTCCAATTGTTTGTTAATTTCTTTTGGTTTTCCTTCAATCTTTTGTATAGTATTCTGCACCTTTACATACTTTAAATTAAGAACCTAGAAAAGGAAAAAATAGAATCAGACATTCATACGTGAAATCTACAAGCACAAAGTTTCTAGTAGAGAAAGACACTCAACCTGCTAAGACAGCATAGGATAGTTCCCATGTCTATTAAAATGTCAGATGTTCTTTCTTGGAGGACCTGCAAAAGGGCATCAGGAGTTTTGTATGTGCCCTTTCTCAGCTTTGTCAAGACAAATGGAACAAAAGAAAACCAAAGCAATAGAGAAAAAATAAAAAGTTCTATACAACCTTATATTTGGAAAATTGCAAAAGTATTTGGTAATCACAAAGCTTATATAAATTGGACTACGTTCACCTAGGTTTCATCAGCAACAGATGCAACAAATCCTTTTGATGCTTCCAAGTGTCTTCAAGTCTAAGGGCAGTATTCTTGGAAAGAACAGAAAATACATATATAGACTTCACAAATGGAGTTCATTTGTTGAGCATCTGTAATGAACTAAATCCTCCATTAAGGGCTAATTTAAACTTAAAGGACCACCTGAATACATTACTTTCATCAATCTAAGCAATAGAGAATAAGAAGTAGACATGGACAAACTTTTTTGGGAGCGCTAGTTTAGCAGATGGTCAAGCAATCAAACACATATTGTTGGCTGTCTCAGAAATCCACACCAATATCAAATGGCACAAGGAAAAAACTGCAGAAGCCCTGATGACCAAAACATTTATTAAAAATAGTTGGGGAGAGAGAGAGAGAGTAGATGCTGCACAAAGTACTTCCCCAGCTATTTTTAGAAGAAAGGAAGTTACATCGAATGACGCACCACCAGCTATAGCAGCAAGTTATAAAGTATTTCACCTTCTGAAGTGTTAGGAAACGACTTGTTCAAACTTACAGTGGGTTGTTAACCGTGATAGTGACATGGTTCACAGGAAGCTCAACTTCTGGACATCACTTGTAATAGCAATTTACAAGTGCCTAAAATTTGTTCTGTCATTCTTGCTTCTTGCTTATTCGTACTTTCCACTAGCTGGCATCTGATCTGCAAACCAAAAGTCAGGAACTTCTTCTCTTCCTCATTGGACCTGGATACATTTGAAGAATTATATGAGCTAGTCTACAGGTATCGAACTGTTTCCAAGATAATTCACTATGGCTGCTTAATTGACAGTGCAGAAGCTATTTGGAACTTTTCTTTTCTTAAGATGTGAAACTCAAGCTTCTGATATAAGATTAGGCATCAAAAACAAAATGGCAGCCATCATCATCACTCTCTGTCTCACAGTTTCACACGGACTGACAAACTGTACAACCAAGAAAATCTTGATTTTATATGAGACTAATTTTGATACTTAAGATTCAAAGACACCTGCTCAAGATGCAACTTGAACAACCAAAGGGGAAGTCAGATCTGAAATAATTTGGTAATAATCCATTCATCAAGGTTTTTTTTCCTTTATTTTAATTTGCTCATTTCCTCGATCTCCAATACCTTTCAGCAGCTTTTCAGTGAATCAACTAGACGGATAATCTAGAATCAAGAAATATTTCAAAGAAAAATGTTATGAAAGATTCTCTCAAACATACACAGCAAGAGTAGTTCTTGGAACCACATTAAATGGTTCGTCTTCAAGAAATGAAGGAAACATTCTAATGCCAACACCTGAAATTTTTTCAATTTGGCTTATATATGGACATCAAAATGTCAAAACAAGATGGCTGAGGGCCAAGTCTAAATCACAAAGAGTTGCAAAGTTTTGAACAATCTAGAAGAACATCGCAGAACAAACTCTGCCAAGAAGCAGAGATAAGCAGAACAAACTCATCTACCAAGATAGTGAAGAAAAGGGGAAAATTGGGGAGGGGGAAATTAAGCTCAGATTCAATCAAAAAAACTTAATCAAATGAGGAAAAATCTTTACAGTCACCACATACTGGTGATTCTAGAACATAAAAACTAGAAGCAGGAGAGCGCCCTCAAAACAGTTTTGCAAGGTAATTGGACATGACCACACCTGTTCCAAGATCGATTTATATACACAATCACCTTTACCTACGTACTTGATATCGGCAATGAGGCAATTGCTTGTAAAACCACAATATTTGAGTGCAATGCAACCTCAATAAGATGTGAGACAAGCATTATGTTCTCTCAGAATGAAGTTGCAGGAGCTGTTTATTCTGACTGTTATCAGAACTGCAAGATAACTGCAGAAAGGAAGGAAAATCAGGGAAATTAATGGATTATAAAGCTATGCAATTAATGGATCCTAAAACTCACCAAATTGAGCTTCAGCTTTGAAGTGTTTCTGCAGGTCTATGAATTATTAACTTTGATCTGTGCTCAACGTTGTCCAACAGTCGCTCGGTAGGATTTTCCTCCCTTTTCCATTACCTAATAGAAGCAAAAAAAAAAAAAAAAAAAAAAAAAAAAAAAAAAAAGAAAATCCAAAGTGGATCACAGCAGCAGCAGGAGTAATTTCTTGGCTCATATCCAACTTATAAAGCCTATTTGAACTAAAATTAAAAAAAATATATAAAGGAAGCAAGAAAGAAATGGATTTCTGGGCAATTTGTTCTGAGCATTGAAACAAAGTCTGTGTTACTCTGACAAAATCATACTGACGGAGTAAGAGAAAAATAAAAATCAGAAAACCAAAAGAATTAGACTGAAGGAATAGAAAAGAATATCCTTACATACATGCTAGTGCTGAGCTGATTCTGGGGATCATATGAATCTACAGCAGCAGTGAAGAGGGTTTCAGAAACTGGAACAATAGTGTGTTATGAGAAGTATTTAACGTTGCATGAAAAAAGGGCATAAAGAACATTTTAGTAGCAGATAATTATAAAAAGCTTCACAAACTATTAACACGGGAATGTGCTTACCACTGCAATCACAATTAGCAAAGTTGTATCATCAAGTTTTGATTAAAGCATTGGGAACCTCCAAAAGTTGTTTTCTCTTTCGAGAAATAATTTCATTCTGACTGATTTAATATATACAAGTAGTGATGGAGTAGTACATCTCACCTAACATGTAGAATCCATGTCTGTGTGGACTCTCCTAGCAAACATAACAATTGTTGAACACACACATATGCTTCATCAGTCTAAAATATGATGTGAGGAAGTTGACTCTGCTTTCTGACATAAACGAAAGAAAATGTAGATCACCAATATTTTATGCTTTAGAATCTTTGGAGCCTCTTTATCTATTGTTCTTGTATTTGCTTTACTAAACACATAGCAGAATTGTGACAGGATATCACCTCAATCATTTAAACAGTTAGAATTATGATGAAAGTAGATCTCGTGAACCACAGTTATCGAATAAATTTAAGCTAGGATCTGATAAGCACAAATGGTCTGGTGAGGAAAACTCTGCAGACTTGTGACATTTTTGTGGTCTGCTCAAAATCATTACAAGTAGCAGCAGGAGAACTCTTTACGACAACTTTATCAAGCAAATTGTACATGTTTACTTCTATTTCAAGCTGAATTCAAGGACATGCGCCCTATTTGATATTCACAGAGCCATTTGTGTAGCAACAGCATTTGAGTGCATTCTGTGACAGGCCCACCGTCCCCTAAGGTGAACCAAAGGGTTCGGCAGACCGCTTGCCCAACTCTCGTCGGGACTACGGATCCGAAATGAGCGTAAACCCTACCAACCGCTCAAAAGAACTTCGAGAAGATAACATTCACTGTCCGAAACCCAAACAAGCACAACAACTTTAGATAACCCTAGAAAAGAACATTTCCAAACCAAATCAACTTAGGAACATGGTTAAACACTTTTATATACACATGGTTGCAAACTTACAATTCAAAAGGGAGTTGTTTGGTTAAAATACAATTAAGGTTTTCCAACCATCGAGGAACAATACAAAAGAATACTAAACTAGCTCAACTCATACTTCAAAACATCATAGTCTTCAAAAGGTGATTTCCTGTAAGGAAAACAAGGATAACGAAACGGGGTGAACTAAAAACTCAATGAGGCGCCCAAATAATAACAGTCAAGAACCAAGGAACTTCATGCTCAATTAATCACATAAGTGTAGCAAATAAGGAGAGGAACAAAACAACTTAGATAAAAGGATACAGGTGGCTCTCAGGAGCCAAATTCCCCGTTGCAGTACTTGATCCAGCCTCGTTGACCCTCCGTCAACGTTCAAATAAAGAAACCAATCCAGTAGAACACCACTTTAACGCTAAAACCTCGTTCACCAAACATACCCCTTACCGGGCCCGAACGCCAAATAGGAACAGGAATGGTAATACTCGAGTATACCCGAATCAAGAGTCTCAATACTCAAAGATTCCCCAGGAACAGGTACCCAAGGATTATCAATTATCTCGACCAAGTCCTTGCTGGCTCGATTTAATTAACTCCCCATGAGGTTGAGTTCAAGTTTAACGGGACGATCAAGTTTAACAGGACGATCGTTGGACACACTTCCAAACGATCTCATAACAAGTGCAAGTAACAAATTCAAGTACATAACAAGTACAAGTAATAGATTCCAGTTCGTTCAGTACAGGCAAGAGAACGAGTGTGATAAAGTACACTCTCGTCTCATACAAGATAAACAGTCAGGAAAGATATTCAAATAACAAGTTGCGAGTACAGAAAATCAGTTTAGCAATAACTCAAGGGAGTGGTGCACTCACCTGATTAAACAAGGATAATTTCAAAAGTTTCCTTCCCTAGTGTGGCTTTACTCGCCGGCACCTCCTAGAACAATCAAGGTAAACACTTAAGACTGGACTCCAAAACCTAATAAGTGGAATTCGCAAGTAAAACTCGATTACAAGTCGGGTGCCTATCCAAATAAACCATTAATGTAAAGCGAAGAGGTGACTTTGGAGTGAAAAGATAACAATTAGTTCTAAAGGCATGCACAACCTCAAAACTCTACCTACAATGATTGACCAACTCCAAATTTGAATTAAAAAAAAAATGAAAGTAAGGTCAATGCTAGGAAAACAGGATTTTCCAGTTTCGTGCAACCCTATAGGAAAAATCATATCTCAAGGTTTGTAAGTCCAAAATTAGTAAAAGTTATACCGTTGGAAAATACATTCAAAGGGCTATAACTTTCCATAGAACAACCTCATAAGATTCAGAACGCAAGTCAGTCAAATTCAAGTCTCAAGTTGCTGCTTTATCTAGTGAAAGACAGAACAGGTACAATATTTTAGTCAACTTTGAAAAATCACCATAAATGGTATAGACATAAACAGGGTTTGACATTTACACGGTTTATAGCCCTGTGAATCTAGTTTAGAACGCAACAAACGAAACTCAATTCTGAAATTCCTACATCTAGATATAGCAAATTTCCCGAGACTGTACAGAAGCTTAGTAAAAATTTTGACAGCATTTCCCTTGTCTTTCTTTACTTTCCAACCAAACCTCAACACCCAATCACAAATTATCAAACACCTTTAATTATAGCCACAATACCCTTCAAAACAACCAAATGGTAGCGCAACAAAGAAACCCTAGAAAAGCCCCAATTATAAACCCTAAAACCAAAAGATAGTTTTGACGTCATTTAGCGGAGCAGACACAACTGGAGCTACACTTATCGAATTGGGGTGTAATTTATACCGTTGCGAAGCTAAGACAGAGGGATACAACTTTGATGAAGGCTACTCACTCTAGTTTACAATGTTTCTAGGTCAAATTTACCAAAACAACCCCCAGATTTTCCAATTCGAAATTTACTGTAACAGTCCTGATTCATTCAGTCATATCTCAGCATATACGACTCCAATTCAAGTGATTCCAAAGCCATTAGAAATCTAAGACACAAGGCTAGAATTCTTAAGAAGACATTAACAACCAAATCAGTAGTATTCTTGGTCAAAACAACCAATTACAGAAGCTGATTAGCATGTTCGGATAGAAACATGGTAGCAGGGGTATTTTGGTCTTTTCATAGGCTACGTTGCTCCGATTGAGCTGAAATTTTACAGGCTACTATAAAACATTATTCTCTACAACTTTCATGTTTTGGGAAAGAGCTGATTCAGTCTCTAACATGCTCAAATAAAACCAGACAGAACAGGATCATTCAAAACCCTAACCTAGAATTCATGCATTCAAGTGCTAATCTTCCGCAAAATAACATCTAACACCGCTAAAAACTACTAATAAGCAATTAATTGGAGTAAAGAGGATGTTCTTGGCAAAATACCTTAAAACCACAAGAAAGTTGGTAGCTTAGTGCTTCCCTTTTCAAAACAACTCCATTAATCCTTCTTAATCCTTTCTAGCCAGAAGTTTTATGGAGTAATTTGAAGATTAAACGGTTGAATTGAAAGATTTGGCAAGATTAGAGGTAAGAAAGTGGAGAGGTTTTTCTTCCTTTTTGCTTGAAGATGGCTGGCCAAGAAGATGAAGAAAATGAGAAATTTTTGGTCAATTTTTGTTTTAATTGGTAAAGTAATGAATAGTGGTCAAAATTCAAGAATAAATCACAAGGTGACACTTGTCACCCTCATAAATGCTAAGCTATCCTTTTGTTTCCTCAACACTCATCCAAATGATATCCTTTAATTATCTCTTAGCACCTAGTAAATTAAACCCTGTATGCAAAACTTAACCTAATTGGCCGAATATTACCGAACTTTCCGCACTAACGGGTCCCACGTCCGGTATACGCTCCAAAAATCTCATGAACTCAATTATACTAGAAAAATGTTTTAAAAACCCTATTTACTCATAAAACGAGTTAGAAATTTTTTTAATAAAGAAATTATAGAAAAACGTGCGATTAAATAAAACAAAATCCTAGAAAATACGAAAATTTACGGGTTCTCATATTCTCTCCTCCTTAAAAGAATTTCGTCTTCGAAATTCCTTATCATCGTCTTCTTCGGGATACAAAAATTTTACTACTTCCATCTCACAGTCAAATTGAATATCATACTTAGCTAACCAATCTGTACCCGTTCACTAACCAGGCTCATTGAATTCTTCCATCCCAAATTGCAAACAGTGAGCAAACGGTGGAATATCAGAATCTTACCTTCCACGTCCTCAAATGGGTCAGAGACTTGATGTTGTTCTAAGGAGTACACCCGAGCTGACACTTTCGATCCATTCTTCTCCCCCTTCGACCGGTCAGAGTTGGCCGTGGTTGTCTGTTGGCTCCTACTCCCTTCTCAAGATCGATTTGGGTAATTTGCGATTTGATGATCTGCTCTCCCACAACGCAGGCATTTTCTTCCTTTCTTCCAGCAAACGTTCTCTGTGTGATTCGGCTTCTCACAGTACCCGCAGGGATCACAAGAAGCGGAGACTGAGTCTCTCTGTGAGGCACCACTTGACATTCTCGGTAATTGTACTCCCCCGTTTCCCCTTCCAATCTTAGGAGGCGTCCCCTTATCCCCTTGCTCTGAGGTACTTTCAGGAAATCCTCTTTTCTTAGCTTGAAAGTTTCTAACTTGAAATCTTGCGCTTTCAACTCGTTGAGCTTTCTCTACCGCATCACTAAAGGTATTGAGTTGGGCTGCAGCCAGGTCTTTCTGGATCTCAACGTTTAATTCTTGGACAAAATGCCTTATCCTCCTTTGCTCGGTCACTATTAGTTCGGGAGCGAACTTGGACAACCTGGTGAATTGGCTCTCATATTCGGCGACGGTTTGAGTTCCCTGGCGGAGTCTAATGAACTCATCTTCTTTCTTTTCCTGAATCAGAGGTGGAAAATATTTCGTGTTGAACTCTCTCATGAAATTCACCCACGTCCTTGGG